CCGGCCCCCCCATGCGCTAGCCAAGCCGGCAGATACCTCTCGCCATGGGCTCTGTCACCGCCTGCGATCTCCCGGGAAACCGAGCTTTCGAAAAAAGTTGCAACAACTGTAGCCAACTGCTCAGCCAAGCTGCAGCTGCTCGCCTTGATTGGCGCCGCCGCCCGCCTCTTCTTAGGCTGTGGGTCGTGATAGGTGAACTCGCAGAGTGAGCCCGCCCTTTGCCCCGCCTCCCAGGCCTGGGCCGGTCCAGCGGCCCCACTTTCTACAAACGCTTTCGGGACAGGTCCCCACGGAGGAGGTGGGAGGGGGTTTAAATTTGACGGACTCCCGGCGTTGATTGGATGATGTGAATGACACCCGAGGTACCATTGGGCAGCCACAAGCTCCTCCCCTCCCGGTGTTGAAGCTCCGCCTTTGGTCCCTTAGTCTCACGGCTGGAGGCCCTGGCTCAAAGTAGACCTGCTATGGGACTTCCTTTATTTATCGGGCTTGACCGGAACCCGACCTTTGACCCCAGGACTTCTTAGGACCCGGGGAACCTAGATGGCCCAGCATCTCTAACACCTCGACCTCTCTCGCAGTCTGGTCCTTTCATTCCAGGATTGAAAGGTTTATTTAAAGCCTTTTCTTTCAATATTGTAGCCCTGTGGACAGAACTTCTGTCAGGTAACTCTGGAAGCGGATAAGCTTCCTAGGAAGTCAAAAATCCTCTCCCTACACACCTACCATTTCACAGATGGGGTGGCAGAGGAGACAGGAGGCTTACTTGCTGCCCAAGGTCACCTGGTGGCTTAACTGCAGGGCCCGATCAGTATCTTTTTTTAAAAATTGAGTTTATTGGTACATTTTAGGTGTACAGTACAGTTATGTTCATTATTGGGATCTTGTACCTTTACATGACAGGTCCCGGATCAGTATCTTGACAGAATCTTCTATTTGTTTATTTTCCTCAGACAGGGTCCTGCCATGAATCCCAGGCTGGCCTGGAACGCATGCATGGAAACCCTCCTGCCTCAGCCTCCCAAGTGCTGAGATTACCCACATATACCACCACGCCTCACTATTAACAGACAGTCTTCTAGATGGTGAGTTTGGACTCCCACACTGTGCTCTACCCAGGTGAACCCTAGTCATCAGGTGACCAGAGAAGCACAGGCATGGTGCGCATTCATTTCTCTAGAATCAGGGCAGGTGTCCAGGCCCTGTTTTTCCCTGAGGGGCCCTCCTAGGGCTATGGGAAGAGGTCACTCAGCATTCCTTCTCTTTGGTTCCTAAGAACTGTTAGGGTTTTGTTCTTGTTATTGTTTTTTGAGACAGGGTCTCACTATGTAGTGGAGACTGACCTGGAACTATGTAGCCCAGGCTGGTCTCAAACTCACAGCAATTCTCCTGCCTCAGCCTCCCAAGTGCTGGGATTACAGGTCTGCGCACCATGCCTGGCTCCAGTTTTTATTTTTGAGACAAGGTCTTGGTAAATTGCTTAAGCTGGATTCACCTTGTGATCCTCCTGCCTCAGCTTTCCAGAGTGCTGAGAGATGGGTGAGGGCCTCCATATATGGCTAAAACATTATTTAGAAGGTAAACAGTGGTAAGTGCTATGAGGAAGCTGAAAATGGGAAATATGGAGCATGAGTCAGAGCGATCTTCTTCAAGGTGGTGGCTAAATAAAGGAGACCCAAGGGAAAGGTACTTCTGAGAGGAAAAGCAAGTACAAATGCTTAGAAGTGGAAATGGGAAGACGCTCAGTGTGACTGGGACTGAGTACATGGGGCACAGTGACAGGCCAGAAAGGTAGGGAGGGCAGGGGCTTTATGCAACGCTGCTGTGTGACACCATCTTTTTTTTTCTTTTCTTTTCTGAGACAGGGTCTTGCTAGGTAGCTCAGGCTGACCTCCAGCTCCCAGCAGTCCCCCTGCAAGTTCTCTCACCGCAGAGTGGCAGAGCAGCGCCCCAGTCTCAGAGGCGGAAGAAGCGCTCCCCACCCCCCACCCGCTGTCTCATGCTCCAGCCTTTGAGGTGGTGGCTGCTTCCTATAATTGTCACTGCTGTTACCTCAACATCCAGTGTTCCCTTTTTGCTTTTTTAGTTCTCCACTACCCATTTAACAAATTTTCTATTTTAAATTCTGTCTTTGTTTGGTTTGGTTTTGAGTTTTTGAGACAGGGTCTTGCTAAATAGTTCAGGCTGGCCTTGGACTCACTGTGTAGCCCAGGTTGGCCCTCAAACACACAGCAATTCTCCTGCCTCAGCTTCCCAAGTGCTGGGATTATAGGCCTGCGCCACGCCACCTATCTCCTTTTCAATTTTTTCTTTAGAGATAACGTCTTACTAAGTTGCTACATTGCCCAGGCTGGAATCCAAACTCTTGATCATCTTGCCTCAGCCTCCTCCAGTGCCAGGGTTATAGACATGTGCTTCCACGCCTGGCTGTGCATTCCAAGTTAGGAGGAAGCTGCTAAATGGTTTTAAGCAAAAGATTGAAAGACTGAGAAATCTGCTTCTTTCTTTTGCTTTTGTGATACTGGGGACTGCACTCAGGGCTCGTACATGCCAGGTAAGCGCTCCATCACTGCACTCTACTCCCAGCCAGACTGGAAAATCAGAACTCCAGCTCATGCAGCTTGACAGAATCACCCTCACATTTTCAGGGTGCCTGCACGGTGGTGCCACCATTTCACAAGTGGCCAAATTGTGTTGGTACAATTACACATTGCTAAAGTGCTTTCTTTAGTTTTGTTTCTTGTTTATGGTGATACTGGGGATTGAACCCAGGATGTTTGCACTGAGCTACATCCCCAGCCCTTTTGTAAATTTTGAGACAGGATCTCATTAAGGCACTAAGTTCCTCGGGCTGGGCTCGAACTTGTGAACCTTCTGCTTCGGGCTCGCAGAGTGCTGGGGGGAAGGTGTAAGCCACCATGCTGGGCTCCTGGTGTTATATTAGTGTTCACATTTGCTCTATACATTCTTCTTATTAACACTTCATGCTACTGTCAGTTCTGGTGAGATTTTTACTTATCTGTCAAATGGCTAGAGCTTCTATTCTCTCCACATACTGTATTTGAAAAAAGATATCACAGGCTGGGAGTGTAGTTCAGTACCAGAGGGCAGCCAGGTGTGGTGATGTGCGCCCATAATCCCAGCAGTCAGGAGGCTGAGGCAGGAGGATTGATGTGAGTTCAAGGCCATCATACCTGCTTATTTTTGTTTTTTGAAAGACAAAAATCACTTTCTGGGAATTTACTTTAAATTTTTTTTTTTTTTTTTTTGTACCAGGGATAGAACTCAGAACCTTGTACTTATAAGGCAAGCAGCAGAACCACTGAGCTAAATCCCCAGCCGAATTGTTTGTTTTTTTGAGACAGTCTCACTGTGGAGCCCAGACTGGCTTTGAACTTGTGATAATCTCCTGCCTCAGCCTCCTGAATGCTGGGATTACAGGTATGCACCACCATACGGGGCTACCTAGCAATTTGGCAAGACTGTCTCAAAATAAAAGAACAAAAAAAAAAAAAAAAAAAGGGCTGGAGATGTAGCTTTTTGTGAGGCCCTATGTTCAATCCCCAGTACCACAAAATACAAAAGACAAAGCAAATCGAAACCCTGCCGTCATGGTATCTACTGTTTTAAAACATCCAGTGGCCTCCACGGCCACAGTCTAAAGTGCCAGGGAGTGCAGGCTGCCAGTCCCAAGAAACTGGACTCCCCACCACGATCTGATCACTGCCAATTGTACTTTATTTCCTCTCTGGACCTTTCTCAGGCTCACCAAGTACAGACACACACGGAGCCAGAAACCAGCCCTGCTCTGGCTCTGTGCTCTCAGGGTGCGTCTGCCCTGTCCTATATCTGGCCCCCATCTGGAACCCTAACTCTGAAGCATCTGTTTGGGTCGGGACCCTGTGTGCCCCAAAGGCTCACTAAGCTGCAGGCCAGGCTGCTGCTGGGCTTTGGGAACTGAGTGGACCACACGCAGGGCGATCAGCCCAGGATGAGAGCATCATTTGTTGGCACTGCTGGGAGGCGATGGAAGGGAGGGGACCATAAAGTCATGGCCTTTGGGACTGTCTGGTCCCCTTGGCTCCTTTTCTTTTTGTCTCTTTCCTCCTCTATCTGCTTCCTGTCTTTCATGAGCTGAGCATCTTTTTTTTGTCTGTTGTTTTTTTGGTACCGGAGATGGAACTCAGGACCTTGTGCTTGCAACGCAGGTTTGGCGCCACTCAGCTAAATCCCCGGCCTCCTGTTTTGTTTTGTTGGGATTGAGTCTCTGTATAGTTCAGGCTGGCCTTGAAGTATGTAGCCAGGTGAGCCTAGAAATCACAGCAATCCTCCTGCCTCAGCCTCCCAAGCACAGGCATTACAGGTGTGCCCACCACACTTAGCTCCCATAGTGATCTTTCTAGAATGCAAATCCAATCATGGTAGCATTCTGTATATAAATAGTTTCTCCTTGAAAGCACAAGGACCCAAATTCAATCCCTGGTACCAAAAACAAATAAACAACAACAACAACAAAACAAATAGTTTCTCATTTCCCTGAACCCTACAGAACAAAATCCAAACTCAAAAGTCCCTTTAAGAATTAAGAGGCATTCTAGGACTGGGGATTTAGCTTAGTGGTTCTGCTGCCTGCCTCGAAGGTCTTGAGTTTGATTCCCAGTACCAAAAAAAAAAAAAAAGAATTAGAGGCATTCTAAATTGGGCATGGTGGCGTACACCTGTAATGCCAGCACTGGGAACGCTAAGGTAGGAGGAGTGCGGTGAATTCAAGGGCAGCCTGGATTCCATAGACTCTGGCTAAAAAGACAAACAAAAAAAGAATTGGAGGCATCTGGAGAATGACCTTTATCTACTTTTTTTAGGGGGGGATGCCCCAGGGCTTCTATGCTGTGCTATATCCCCAGACCTTTTTATTTCTTATTTTTTATTTCTTACTAAGTTGCTAAGTTGCTCAGGTTAGGCTTGAATTTCCTATCCTCCCGCCTCAGCCTCCTGAGGGCTGGTATTGCAGGCTTGTGTCACCACACCTGGCCCTGCTAACTCCTTCTTGCTGTATTTACCAAAGTTCAGGTGGGAGCTAGAAGCCACACCAGTTATTTCATGGGGATAATGTGGAGCCTTGCTCAGTAGGTATAATCTGGCTGGTTAGGGAGCTGAGAGGG